TTAATGCATTTTTGACGAAGAAAGTCCAGTTTTAGGGATAGTAGGAAAATACAGTTCCACTCTGAATTAGGTTTTTCTGAAGATTTTCCTTTCAGCTCCTAAAAGGCTTATAAATTGAAAGTAAATAGGATAAGAAAGTAGGTATAACAAGGCCTAGAGGAGATAGGCACCCATTCATCTCTTTTAGGCGGATATTTGAAAAAAAAAAAACAAACCCAAGAATAATTTGCCAAAAGAGGCAAAATTTTAAGGGCTGTCCTACTTGGTACCAAAGTATAATGTAAATTCCACTGAAACCAGTTCAACAAAAGAAAACMATGCTGCACAACAATTAAAAAACTTGAGAATATCCCTCTGCACCAAAGCCACATAGAAATCACACAGAAAAACAAAATTAAACATGCCTGCTGTATGAAGAGTATCTTGGGCTCTCTGGGAGCAACCACACTACATCCTGCACCAGCTTTTTCAAGAGCTGCCAAGTCCACCAGTTCCAGACATCAGCTGACACTCCAATAAATGCTTTAGCTGGTCACCATCTCCAAAATTGTCCAAGTCAAAATCCCCCAGCCTGTGAAGAAAAGAGAAAGGATTTTGAAATTGGATGTTGGAATGCTTTTTGTACTATAAGAGCTCTGATCCTATAAAAACATCCTTGTGAATATGCATGAMTATGGCACCCTAATTGCCACGTTTTGTTTCAAAAAGTAATTTTTTTGCCATAAAAGGAAATTTTAAATACTTCAGCTTACTTCATTTTCCATTTCTGAGACCTCCTATTTATTACACATTTGATAGAAAGGGACTGGTTCCAGTTGTGTAGCACATCTCAAAAAATAGTTATTTGGTGGTGAGATTTAAAATAATTAAAAATTTGGATTGATTTCTCTTTGTAAATTAACACAGAAGTTTTTCAAGACCTCCATTCAAAATAAACTGTACACTCTCATTTCTAAAAGCAGTCTGACCTCCACTAAAGTATATTGAATCTCAATACACTCAATATTCTCAGTCATTGATTCTCAAAGTTCAGGCTCYAATACACTCTCAAAAGATTCATGATCTTACAAGATTTACGATCAGCTCTTTGTAAATGAGTCTTTAATATTACAGCAATAATAGCACAGGGCAAGACTTGGGTTTTCAAATGCTTAAGTGCCAAGCTATAACGGATCATTTACTCAAGGGTATCCTGTAACACCCATAACCAAATGGGGACTGGCAGCACCACAGAGGTTCCCAGCAGCAGGAATGTGATGGCACTAGAGTGGCAGAAGTAATGAGCAAGCCAGATTACAAACCGTGCTTGTCCTGTTTTGTTGCTGCATTTTCTTCTCAATAATCACCTGTTTTCTAAAGATGAGAATGGTACTGACCTCTGTGATGGTGCTGCAGTGAGTAAATTCAGAGGAAATTAAAATTGGACAAGAAATGGAAGTCTGCAGACTGGTGAATTGGGTTTGCATGGCAAGGTTTTGGTAGCAGGGGGGATATAGGGATGGCTTCTCTGAGAAGGTACCAGGAGCTTTCCCTGTGTCTGACAGAGCCAATGCCAGCTGGCTCCTGGATGGACTCACTGCTGGCCAAGGACAAGCCAAGTGGCTAATAACAGATTCAAGAAGGAAAAAAGAAGTTATTGCATAGAAGCAGTTGCGGCCACAGAGAGGAGTGAGAGGAACAACCCTACAGACACCAAGGTCAGTGCAGAAGGAGGGAGAGGAGGTGCTCCAGGTGCTGGAGCAGATATCCCCTGCGGCCTGTGGGCAGACCATGGTGAGGCAGCTGTGCCCCTGTAGCACACAGAGGTCCACAGGGAGCAGAGATCCACCAGCAGCCCCTGGAGGACCCCGTGTCACAGCAGGTGAATTCCCATAGAAGGCTGTGACCCCATGGGAAGCCCACACGGGAGCAGCTCCTGGCAGGACCCATGGAGAGAGGAGCCCACGGTGGAGCATTTGCTGGCAGGACCTGTGAGCCTGCAGGGGACCCACACTGGAGCAGTCTGTTCCTGAAGGACTGCACCCTGTGGAAGGGAGGCACACTGGAGGGGTTAGTGAAGAACTGTATCCTGTAGGAAGGACTCACATTGTAGAAGTCGGTGGAGGAGTGTCTCCTGTGGGAGGGATTCCACGCTGGAGCAGAGGAAGGATACTTCTGTTTGAGCAGCAGCAGAAACAATGTGTGGTGAATTGACCATCTCACTCCCCATCTCCCTGCCCTGCAGCAGGGAAGGAGATAAAGATAAGGAAAGAGGGAGGGGTGGGAGAAAGGTGTTTTTATTTTACTTCTCATTGTCCTGCTCTGATTTTGATTGGTAATAAATTCAATTAATCTCCCCAAGTTGAGTCTGTTTTGCTCATGACAGTAATCAGTGAGTGATCTCTCCCTGTCCTCATCTCAACTCATAAGCCTTTGATTGCTCCTCTGTCAAATTGCAGAAGGGAATGGCAGAGTGGCTTTGGTGGGTACCTTGTGTCCAGCCAGGGTCAAGCCCCAAMTGGTATGTTTATAAAAGAACTCTGCTAATGTACACAGCCCACCCGAATGGGGGAAAAAATCTCACATTTGCTTTACCATTTAAAAGTAACAAAATCAGTACATATCATATGCTACATATAACTGTTTTACAGAAATAAATTACCATATTGAATACACAGCCTCTTCAACATGAGCTGATCAAAATGGTCAGAAAAGTCACTTTTACCAAAGGGAAAATTTTGAAAGGCAAAGACCAAAAATAACCCAACAAACCGAACCAAAACCCAACCCTTTCTACAGGCCCAAGAAAATCAACCCAAAATAAAGTTAACAGCAAGCAAGAGAAAAAAAAAAAATCTTAATTTGCAGTGGTTTTCTGGCAGAAACCATTTTTCTTGAAGTCCATTTTCAGATCTGGTTTGTCTTCTACAGATATAACTGGATTAAAGAAACTGCTGAGTAATCCAACAGCTTGGACTGTAGCCAAAATTAGCTGCAACTGCTTCTACCTCAACTTAAAAGGGGGGGATCACATCTCTGTATCTGTAGGAATGTCACTGAACCTTCACTCTCTGAAATTGCATGGTCATGGCAAATAAGAGGCAACACAAGGGGTGCAAATGTGGTCTCCAGCATGAGGAACAGTAGCTTTAAGGATAATCTAAAATTTGCTGACTTGTCCATTTTATTTTATTCCTTCTTTTTCATGCTCTGCCAAGCCACTTGCCAAGCCTTGGTTCCTGTGCCCTTTATGAGAAATGCAGACAGATTAAAATGATTTTAACTGCAGCTTGAGGGAAAAAAAATAAAACATCTGCACTTCATATTGACTTGAACACTTCTATTTTGTGCTGTAGCTTCATCAGAGGAAGATGGGAAAAAAAACCACAGTGACAAAATGATACATGTGGAATGTCACTTCATTTTATTTCTAGTCCTTAAAGAAAATAAAAATAGTGCAATTTTTCTGTGCCTGTAAAGGAAATAAATATTTCTGTGGCACTTCAGAAATAATTYTGGCCTACAAGTAAAACACTTCTGTAAAATGTTGCAACATGTCCCCAAGGCCACAAGMTTCCACAAATTCTTTGACTGTGAGTTTTTTATAATCAGTATTCTGGTACCTGTATGTATTACGATAGATGTTTACAGAAGTCAGATTAAATCAGTGCAGCAACTTAGAAAGGTAAATGCTATGTACGTCATATAATTAACAAGTATTGGAAAAATTACTAAATCATTCATATCTAGTAATTTTTGAAGCTTTTTTCCAACTCTTTTCCTTAACCCCTTGCTAGAGATTCAAAACAGAAGTTCCTTACTTATGGAGGGTTGGTTTTAGTAGCAGGGGGGATATAGGGGTGGCTTCTCTGAGAAAGTAACAATTTAAAAGATGAAAGAAAAGATGGAAATTTACAGCAACAATGTTTTGGGCATTTACCAAGAAAGGCAAGAGAAGGTAAGAGACCCGAAAATGCAAKTTCCTAGGGAGAAATGAAACACAGATTATTGTGATAAAGAACTMTGAGGATACGTACTGAAATCACAGCAGTAATAAGACACTGATCATGGCAATAAACAAAATTAAAACAATTCAGAGTWCTATATATGAATTCCTATGGTGCTGCCACTGAAATCACTGAGATTTCAACAAATATTTGAATGCCAGGAGGCAGTGGAAAAGGTAAAGAAGAAAATGAAAATAAAAATGTGAAACATATAGGACTCACCTGAAGCAGGAAGAGTGTTTGCACTGATGTGTTCAAGAAGGCGAATTAATTGCACAATTCCCCCCAAAAACCCAACACTTGTACATAGCTGACTTTGGACTTTCATCACGTAATATAACAAAGATCATTGGGAACATTATCAATACAAAATATATTTTTTCTGTCTTTCACATGAAATACTAACAATGGTGACCAGCAAGTCACAAGCTTGAACAGTAAATAGCACAGAAGTGCTACAGCTCTCTAGCACCTCTGTGCACCTCTGAGAGTTAAGCCATGCACACAAATGGAGACTARAATACCAACAAAACCATTTTTCTCTTGTCACTGAAATGACACTTATGCCTGAGATGAGAGAGGACGCATTAATCCAGATCCATGAGCTACTGCTAATTGTTTCAGCATGCCTTTGCAATCATTTAAGAGTATTAAGAAGGAAATTTATTCTTAAAATGAAGGTATAAAAATCACACAGGAAACATAAATGAAGAATGTATGATGTAGTTGCCCAGTACAAGTCATTACTAAACAGAAGCCACCAGTTCAAATTTCTATAAAACTTAAATTCAGCCTCAGTTTCAGCTGGAATGGCCTTCTATTATTCTAAAATTAGGTCTTCTAGTACATGAAGCTAGCATATACCCAATTCTGTTACTTGGGAAAGACCAGGAATCAGCAGGGGTTACATGATTACCCCAGAGTGCCTAATCATGGTCTGCAGAAAGTTTATAGAAAAAAGATGCTGTTACACAAGCTACCATCACAGCAGACAAAAGCCAACAGACCACAGCATAAGAAATTAAGGCCAAACATATTGCAAATTCTCCTTCTGATTAAATAACAAAAATTGACCTTTGATTCACCTTTTTTAACAATCTCTCAATCTAAACACTGTTTCAAAAATGAGCTACAAGCAGGATTTGTGCGTTTCAYGACATTCTTTTTTCCCCTCCAAAAAGGTTAAAAATCCATTAAAAATACCACAGCCAGTACAATATAGCAACATCTGCCCCTCTTAGAAATGTCCTAGTGGTAGCAGCTACAATAACGTTTGTCTAGCATGAACATCCCTGGAGCAGAAATATGAATATGTACTTGCTTCCATGTGAACATAATGTGCTCTCTTTAAAAATCACATAATTACTGTACAAGCCTGGCAGGTGAAGACACATCTATGCAATCCAAAATCGTGACTATTGATTTTTTAACTTCTCATTCGTGTGACTGCAGTATTTTTGTTTGTTTGCATTCATGATCAGAATAGCGACYAACGCTAGTCCCACGGCTAGGCTAGGAGGGCCACAAGGACTGAACTCCTGAGCAATTCCAGACAGGAGTGGGGCAATAATCCGTCCCACTGATGTCACAGACTGTCCAACACCTAAGAGTGTACCGCTGGCCTCGTTCCCACCAACAGTCAATTCCAGATCAATGATACACGTACGGCCTATGGTAGTTGAGAAGGCTAAGAACGTGGAGGACAAAATGACCATCCATATGCTCAGAGCTGATGTRTACAGGAGAATCAGCGTGCAGGTAAAAGTGCTGGAGTGCAACAAAAGTCTGTAAGTGTTGTGCCCATAGAGTCTTGTTATTGGTCCGAGCAGACAACCAGCCAGGACTCCAAGTGCACTGCTATAACTCATCAGGTATCCAGCAAACAAGGGTTTCACCCCAAATCTTTCCTCCAAGGCAAGAGTGAAATTACTATAGTACAGCAATATAGCGACAGACATCAGGAACCGCACTAAAAATACATCCCACAAATTAGAGCACGCAATTCCTTTAATCTTCTTCAGCACTGTTGCAACTTGGATCCACAGAGACTGGAAAAAACTACTGTTTGTCACACCTCTACTGGTTGTTGATTTCAAGTGAAGGTCATGATTTGCTTTTGCTGAGAAACTGCTTGTTCCCTTGTCTTGGTAATGCTCCCTATTGCCAGTGTTTTCTTCACTCCARGGTAACATCCAGACAAGACCTACAGAGATCAAGACAGTCGATTTCATTCCAATTGTATCCGCTTTACATGGAAGACATTAGTTTGACTGTAATTTAAAAAAAGACTTCAACAATACTTGTACTTTAAAAATTTGCAAATATTATGTCTAGTGTTACTCACAGTATCAGTTCAATTTTAAATGCAGTGAAAGCAAGAAAGGAAAGCACTGAGATGGCACACTCATACCACATAAATAAATCTAAAGGCTAAAGCCCAAATTATGATTTCTACCCTTCATCTTTGGGCACATCAAAACTTCCCATTTGTRTCTGAATGTAAAAGGGATATAGGCAAAACAAAGAAGTACCTGGAGGATAACTGTTTCAAAATTCCTACCCTTCCACACAAGTTCAAATTCAAATAGTAGTATTGGTATACAAAATATTTATGCCATAGATGATAAACACACTGAACTCAAGATAYTACTGATGGCATAGAAACACAGAAGTGAGGAATGATGGGATCCAAGAGGCAAAATGTGATAYACAACTTACCACCATTCAGAAGGAAGATGGAGGCACAGATGAAGGAYGTTTGGTAAAAGCCACCTTCAAACTCTGCAAGGTAACCACCAACAACAGGCCCCAGAATGAAGCCCACACTGGARGCTGCATTGAAGCGCCCCATTACTAAAGGACGATCTCTCTCCAAAACCAAGTCAGACAGTAGGGCTTTAGAGATGGAAAGTGTGTGTTTGAAAATACCTGCAACAAAATATAAACAAATTAATATACATGTATTGCTCAGTCCATAAAAGAAGACAGAAGGTATCTCAAATCACAATGGTCCAAATCTGTATGACTTTTATTTTTAAAATTCTATTAGTCACAGATTCTTCAGTGCTAGAATAGGCAGCTTTGTGGGGTTTAGATGTCTGGTGGGTGAAGTCACAAGACTTCAAATTATTTTCAGGAAAAAAATAATGAGAATTCTTGATTTGTAGAGACTTTTCCAATACTAAGGTTCAGTTGGTGCCGCTGGGAKATGATGCTATGCAGCCATCCACATACCATGATTTCTCCTGTAGGAATTCTCAAGCTGAGACAATGGGAAATTTAAACTGCAAAATGCCAAGTGTTTACTCACCTACAGGGACTCTGGAAATGGCAAACAGGAGCACTGTGGTGGATGTTCCAAGCAGGAAGTAACCCAGTGCACTGAGAAGAATACAAGCAAGCAGGGAATACCGTCTTCCTACTATATCACTCCAGCAGCCCTTTCACAAAGCAGGAAAGAAAGATCAGCTTTTTATAACACTAAGCTGTGTGCAGTGATCTATCAGTACTTCTAAATTAAACTGAGAAAAGACATCAAAGGACTGTCAATAAAACCCTAGTAAGCTTATCACACAACATTCCTAAGTGTTCAAAATCTGGAAGTCACAAGCGGAATTCTGTCCTGGTGGCCAAAACTAGGAAATTTAATGTTATGTATAGACCATTCTTAAAAAAAACCAAAAACCTCCCTTTTAAAAACAGTCCTGCAATAAATACCATAAAATCTTACCAGCAGGAGCCTTCTGAAAATCTTAGTATAAACAACCACAAATATTTGTTTGCATCACTGCTTGTTATGCATTAGATATTTGTTGAACATCCTAAAAGCAATGATCCTAKCTATGAGGAGTTTGTCATCTGAGCCCAGACAGGTAAGAAGTAGCTATGCTGAGGGCAAAAAGAAAACTAGCATTTATTATGCTTACAAATCAGCTTGCTTCCTAAGAGGAAATATTATTTAAGAAAGTAGACAATGCAATTCAAAGAAAATGCCAGAAATTTACAGCAGGAAATGATCCCAGGTGGCCTGCATAACAAACTCTGAACCATTTTTTTTATGAGATGTTCCATAATCTAGAAAAAAGTACCAGGGTAATATTAGGATACAAAAATCAAGAGCTAATAGAAAACAAAAACAGCAAAGAGGCAATGATTTAGACCACAGAGTCAATTACAAGGCACTGCTCATTAAACAGGGAAAGCAAACTAGATCACAGGTTATGAAAAGCTGACTCATGAGACTGCTTTTTGGACAGGCTACTGCATTGAATGAAACTGCTTTACTAGCACCAACACTAGGGAAGATAACCCTGTATAAATGTGACCTGCTCAGTAATGTATCTGAGCCTAATCTGTATTCCAGTTTTTGTCTRAAACCTGTATTCTCTTTGGGTCTGAAAAACCAAGCAATTCCCTTTAAAAGAAACTGACATTTTTCATGCAAACTGAAAATTGGTTCATCTGACCAAAATGCTTACATGAACACTTTATGCATTTTTAAAATTTCAAGAAATGCTATTATCCACCCCACCATTTTTGTCCCTACAATCCAAAGACCAGCATGCTCCGGAATGCAGTCAGAACTCACCACAACTGTGCTGGAAAATAGTTGCATTACACCGTAAAGAGATCCTGAAACAAACAGAATACCAGCGTTAAAAATCAAACCTTTTTTTTCTAAATGAACTCTGCATAAAATTTTAAATGATGAAAAGTTAAGAGAAATTCTGGGAATAATTTACTAGAGGAATAGGAAGAGGGAGCAGGACAAACCAAGGGTGAGGTTTAGCATTTAATCAACAAAATAGTTTCAGAGGACCACAAAATAAAAAAAAAGAGCTGAAAATTTGTAAAATGATGTAAGGTAAAATGATGTTGCTTTGTATGGTGTATTAAACAAAACATATCTTGGAATTATAATTGCTTTCTCAGAATCAGGAAGGAATTCAACTTCTGGAAGGGACTTTCTACTTGGTGCTTCACTATACCACAAGGTACTACAGAAGCCACTTAGTGGCACAAGGCAAGGCACAAAAAAGAAGCAGAGAGAAACATCTGCCAGACTCTTTCATTTATAAGAATACACCTCAAGCCCAGGCTTTTCTAAAGTTAAAAATYAAAGCACTGTTGCAAAGAAAAAGTATTTCTGATTAGTTATTGCTTAAAATAACACTGTCAACTCAGTGTAGAAGCAGAATTATTTAATAAAAAGTGTTACATAAAAAAGCAAAACAATAAAACTGAGTAACAGAGYCCATGTCAGCCACATAAAGATATAAAGAATATATTGTATCACTCCAAACCATAAACAATACCGTAAAAGGTACTTTAAAACCACAGAATGCACCTTATCACTAAACACTTTAAGATAAMATCCCAAATCTTCAGAATTTATTTACAAACGTTCCATAAAGTTAATAAATATTTTGCCAGGACAGCTGTAAGGATTTTAATCAAACTGAGAGCAATCACGGACACTGGAAAGCTTTGGAGAACCAGCTGCAGAAGTACTGTTTGCAAAGTGTAAATAACAATAAAACTACAAGCAACACCTCTAAATTGCTGAGCTGTGAATACTTGGATGCTGGAAAAGTAGCTGGACAAATCCTACTGGAAGACTTCCTTATTCTTTCCAAGTGTGCTCTTTCCCAAGCAYGTGCTTTTGGCTACTGTCAGTGTGCAAATTTGGACCCAAATTTCTCTGGGTCTAAACAGTATGGCCTCCCTTACAGATTTACCTGGAAACTGTCTTTATTTTTTATTATGTTTTTAGCAAGGAAGAATTACGTTACAATGTCCAATTTACAGTATGGCATAATCCAGGCCTTATCTTATTATTTCGTAAATCAAGTCCTGCAACTCACCTATGATTCCAGCAACTGTATGACTTGCTCCTAGAGATTTGATATGAAGGTTCATTAAAGGAACAACCATGCTCACCCCAAATAAGTCCTGAAAAAAAAGCAGGCAAAATTTTAGTAACTTTCACAAAGACAATGGCAACCTGGCTTAATAAAAGTCAACATTAAAAATATAAGGTAAATTATCTCCCTATCAAGACAGACTTAAAAAAAAAATTCATATTACACAACACATAAACTGAAAGATGATGGATTGCCTCACAGAAGAGTTAAACCTATGAAAACATCTTCTCCCCCCACTCCAGATATAATCCTTCTGAAGATATATATTTAAACATTAAATATTCCTTTAATATATATTAAAGTTGACCTATTTAACAAGAAAAGTACTTTGTATCAGTATTTTAAATTCAAGGACTTATTTCAATCWCCTAAAAATACTTTGTGTTTGTGCAAAGAACTTCTATTTTGAAAAATGTTRTTTTAACCCAACCACAATGGGGAATAAGCTACAGGAGATTAAAACCTACTTACAGACTGCTTTTGTGTGTAGCTTAAGAAATGTAGTGAAAAGACAGAAATAGGAAAAAGGAAGAAAAAAGGCAAAGCATAATTGAAAAATATTTTGTAAGGGGAGGGTAAAGGACACTGTCCACCCTGATCAGAACAAGGATCTCCTACTCGTTCCTTTTGCTTCATTACCTTTYGTTAAGCTCAACCACATTGACCAGYAATTCTCTCACTACTACTGCAATCTGGCACAGTATCCAGCGTCCCTTGGAGAAGATCTACTGGAGCAAGACCACCTTTCATCACTGACTGAACTGGACTACCCCAAAGCCTGATTAACAGTAACAATGTGTATCACTAAGTGAATCCTCACAGTCTGTCATTAATTATTTTTTGATGGCTGAAATTKAGGCTTACAAGGTTAGGGTCATTAAATACATTAGCATGAACAAACAGAGTACACCACTTACAAACATCTTCAGTAACACAATCTTAGCTGTCATCTGGGAACCTGAAGTGATGTTCACTGACCAGGTCATCAARAGAGACATTAAAAAAGTCAAGTCTCAGACCATACCTTGGCAGTAYTGGACTGTCATAGGCTTGCAGGTAGAGCAAGACCCCTTAACCACTATCCTCTGATGAGTACTTATGTCTCATTTCATCGGTAATTCCTTCTGTGGAATGACAGACACGCTGTATTTGGCTACAAGAAGTTTGCACCATCACATTTTCTAAATGGACACTCACTTGATTGATTTCCTTGTGTACCCAGCTCTGTGTCAGCAAGATGTTACAGGGCTGGAGGACCACAGTGTTTAAAAGTCAGTTAAAAGAAGCAAAACTTGTTTTAATGCATCTTTTACTGGGGTATTTGCTCCAGGACAAAAACCAACCGAGTTGTTTCTATTGCCCAACCTAAAAGTAGGTAAGACAACATCTAGACATTTCRCAGTGCAAACTCGTACTCATTTTGWATTCATTTTCCGAGTAATCGCTTTTAATTTCAAATTAATTAAATGGCACTTTCCTGAGACTCATGAATCGCTACAGTATACGAGCCTTCTGCAGTCTATACAGTGTGTTTTTTTAATAAGGCACCTTTTTTTTTTTTTTTTTT